AATATAAATTACTTAATAATTTCGCAGTGTTATCTTATATTGTTTTAGTAATTGGTTTTTTTTTTTTTTTATTTGCTTACAATATCCATTTAAGTATACTAAATATTCAAATAATTAATTACATATTTTATACATAAATGTTTTTAATTACCTATTAGTTACCTATGTCCTATAATTAGCAGATCTATTACGGTAATTATTATAACAATAACAACAACTGTAATCAGTGTAATTTACTATGACGACCATATTTAGATTATTACTACTGCCAGTACAGTTACTAAAAGAACAAAACTGCAATTATTATTTTGTTATCAGTATAATATTGTTATCACTACTGAGAAGTACATGCTATGTCTCATTTATCACAATCATTTTGATCTTTGCTTTGTGATTGTATGATAGGAATGATTGAAACAACAAAATGATAAGAGCAAAGAGCTGATATGATTGATTTTAATTTATTTGAAATGATGAATCATAAATTCATTCCTGTCATTACTTGCAAAACATTCGAAAATCTAAAATAAAATTCAAACTTTAATGAAATTATTTTTTCTCCATAATTTAGCAAATATTCCAACGACTAAATATTGCTAAAATTTTTATACCGTAATTTTTATATAGTAACTTTCATGCAGTAATTTCCATATGCTTTTATACACTAATTTTAATATAGTAACTTCCATGCAGCAATTTCTATACAATAACCTAATAATTTTCACATCGTTTCATACAATAATTTTTACACAATAACTTCCATACAGTAATTTTCATACAGTTCTATATAGCAGAATATTACAATTTAGACTTTCTGTAAAAACATTATTACTGTATATAATATTTAAAATAGATGAATCGATTTTATCATTTATTTATTCAAATTTGTTTTATAAATCAATATAGCGTATAATGATTATGTTGAATGAGATGATGATTTTATTTTATTTTTGCAATAATTTAAATTACAATAAACAATAATAATTAATAAATTGTAATAATTATTATTCGTAAATTATCTAAATGTGCCATTGTAAAATTATTAATCTAATATTGCTGCAAAATTCATGCAAATTACTGTAGCTTAAATGATTCGTTTCGCTTTCTTTTCCTAAAATTTTCTTCTTTCTCTTTCATCAAATTATTTCATAATGTGTAGAAAGAAATACAATTTCTCGTCTTATTTTCAATTTCATTTAAGTTTTACCTTTCTTTTCCAACTTTTTTCATGGTAAAATTTTTTAAAAAAAAAAGGTTATATTACTTATTAACAGTTAAATTCCCAATATTTAAAACTATTTAACAACATTTGTTCAAAAGATTTTTAAAAAATTAAAATAAATAGTAAAACAAAGCTACTGTTAAACAACAAAAAAAAGAAAAAAAGGGGAAAAAAGCTCATGTTTGAAATCATTTTAATAAAAGTCAAATATAAGAGGAAACAGATTAATTTTAAAATTTTTAACAAATTTCAATTTTTTGTGTCAATTACTAGAAAAATTAAAAAAAATAAAAAAGTGGAAAAGTGTCAGGCAAAAGATTAAACAAATTTGATAATTTTCTTTTTATTAATTTCTTAAAGAATAACTATTATCATTTTATATATGTAATAATTAAATTAAATTAGTAATTAAATATTAACAATAAATACAATTACTGGAAACTCTTTATTACAATATAAAAATGAATAATTATTCGATTATTTTATTTAATATTCATTCGGTAATTATTGTATTTGTTTATTAAAAAATGAAAATTGAATATGTTCATAACATTTTTTTTTTCCAATCATTTTATTACATTCATTTGTTAATATTTTTCTTTATGGTACATTTCCTACTTTTTTTTTTCGTTGAAAATCCAAAATGTCAACAATATACTATTGCATTTTTTTTTTCTATTCAAAAATTAATAGTATCTATTATTTCATCATATTATTTTATCCTATTACACCGTACCCCCTAAAGCGTACTGTATTTTGTTACCACATACTGTATCGCAATACAATACATAATGCCCAATGAGTTATATTCTTATTCTTCTTCTTCTTCTTATTATTATTATTATTATTATTGTTGTTATTTTTAGTCTTATGATTATTATTGGTGTTATAAATACTATTGCCAACATTATTATCATCAATTTCAGGCATTTTTCTCCTACTATATTCTATTTTTATATATCATTGAATACTAGGAACTTTTCTATCTACGATAATTTCTACATCCATTAGATATATTAAATAAGTAATCAAAAAGTAAGTGAAAATTTAGAAATTTTGGAATTTAAGTTTTTTCAAATTTTCATAATTATTTAATCAATTTGTTTTTTTTTTTCACATTATAATATTTATTTGTTCATAGATTAGACGAGAAAGATGACAATGAATGGGGACAAATTGTTTGTTCCATTCTGTGTTGTAAAAATATGAGACCCCCCCGCTATATGCATGTTTAATTCAAATTGAATAATTAAACGTTCCTTTACGGGGTATGGTACTGTCAGTCTAATTCGTTTTTTTTTTTCTTACTTTTTTCAAAAATACCGGTTTTTCAATTAGTCAATGACATACGATATTATATACCCTGCGCCACACCCTTCGATAAGATACGATGACAGCAAACAAGATAGACGTATAAAATGGTGTAGATCGATGGAATGAATGAATGAGATCGATTTAATGAATGAATGAATTGTTTGAAATGATTAAACGGACAATACCCATAATATTACATATGTGAAACTGTCAACAAAGTTTTCTTTAAAAAAATTTTTTTAAAAATTTCAAAAAAAATTAATTGATTGAAACTTGAAAAGAAAAGGAATAGAAAGAAATTTTAGCATTTCTTTTCGTTTTTTTTTGTATTTTTAATTTTCCCTTTCATTGTTTCATTTGTAAGAATTAAAATTAATGATAAATTAAAAGATTCTATGATCAGAAGAAAAAAAGAAATCAATATTATAACACTGATATTGATGATAAATTTATTGATAATATTTAAGAAAATGAATGAATTCAACGAGAAAAATTACGAACAATTGTTAAATGCT